GATCACAATAAACTGTGGAAAATTCTGAAAGAGATGGGAATACCAGACCAACTGACCTGCCTTTTGAGAAACCTGTATGCAAGTCAGGAAGCAACACTTAAAACTGGACGTGGAACAACAGACTGGTTCCAAATAGGGAAAGGAGTACATCAAGGCTGTATATTGTCACCCTGCTCATTTAACTTATATGCAGAGTACATCATGAGAAACGCTGGGCTGCATGAAGCACAAGCTGGAATCAAGATTGCCAAGAGAGATATCAATAACCTCAGATATGCAGATGACACCACTCTAACAGCAGAAAGTGAAGAAGAACTAAAGAGCCTCTTGATGAAAGTAAAAGAGGAGAGTGAAAAAGTTGACTTAAAGTTCAACATAAAGAAAACAAAGATCATGGCAACCAGTTCCATCACTTCATGGCAAACAGATGGGGAAACAGTGGAAACAGTGTCAGACTTTATTTTTTTGGGCTCCAAAATCACTGCAGATGGTGACTGCAGCCATGAAATTAAAAGATGCTTACTGCTTGGAAGGAAAATTATGACCAATCTAGATAGCATATTAAAAATCAGACATTACTTTGCCAACAAAGGTCTGTCTAGTCAAGGCTATGGTTTTTCCAGCAGTCATGTATGGATGTGAAATTAGGACTATAAAGAAAGCTGAATGCCGAAGAATTGATACTTTTGAACTATGGTGTTGGAGAAGACTCTTGAGAGTCCCTTGGACTGCAAGGAGATGCAGCCAGTCCATCCTAAAGGAGATCAGTCCTGGGTGTTCATTGGAAGGACTGATGTTGAAGCTGAAACTCCAACATCAAACTCCAACATTTGGCCACCTGATGCAAAGAGCTGACTCTTTTAAAAAGACCCTGATGTTGGGAAAGATTGAAGGCAGGAGGAGAAGGGGATGACAGAGGATGAAATGGTTAGATAGCATCACTGACTCAAGGGACATGAGTTTGGTTAAACTCTGGGAGTTGGTGATGGATAGGGAGTCCTGGCATGCTGCGGTTCATGGGGTCGCAAAGCGTTGAACACGACTGAGCAACTGAACTGAAAGCCAACAATACCTAGTGGGGACCAAAACGTTAGGATGTGCTTAAAGATCCATGGAGACATGTCCAAAAATTAACAACTTTCACTGGCCCAATGTAGAATATTTGAGTATCAAACAAATGAAAAGATAGTAAGATTTTGAATTTAAAAAGGAGTCATTTATGTTAAAATATAGGCATTTGAGGTTGGGAGGGACAAAACTTTTTAAGAGAAAATGGAAACTAATAAATATAAATGAAATAATAAATTTGGAAAGCCACTTTTCTGTAATCATCAGTGTAATAATTGTTTCAGGCAGGATAATGGATGTTAAATTTTAGATGGTTTCTAAATCCTCTTCCTTCAGAGAGCAGTGAGATTATATTAATCATGAAAGGAAAATTATTAATTTACAATAGAGAAACTTGATCAACATCACCTTAAATGATCAAACAATAATGAGGCGAACCGATATTTGTGCCTCCTGATGTGATAAAATGGGAAGGATTATTGTTGTTTAGTCACTAAGTTGTGTCCAACTCTTTGCGACCCCATGGACTGCAGCCCACCAGGCTCCTCTGTCCATGGGATTTCCCAGGCAAGAATGGTAGAGTGGGTTGCTGTTTCCTTCTCCAGGGGATCTTCCTGACTCAGGGATTGAACCTGCATCTCCTGCATTGGCAGGCAGATTCTTGACTGCTGAGAGACCTGGGAAGCCCCCAAAGATAGTAAGATTTTGAATTTAAAAAGGAATCTCTTATGTTAAAATATAACCATTTGAGACTGGCAGGGACAGCACTTTTTAAAGGAAGAATGGAAACTATTAAATGTGAAAGAAATAAAAAAATTGGAAAACCACTCTTTTATAATCCTCCATGTAGTAATTGTTGCAGGCAGCCCAATCAGCGGCTGTTAAAATTATTTTAGATGCTTTAGAAACCATTTTCCTTCAGAGAGCAGTGAGATATGTTATTAACATACAGGGTATTTACATGTTTCAAAATATCATCCCTTCAGTTACTTTTTAGTTACAAAAAAAAAAAGACTGATTTACAATAGAGAAACCTGATCAACATCACTTTAATCAAATGATCAAACTTCACATGACAACAATGGGATGAACTAATATTTTGTGCCTCCTGATGTGATAAAATGGGATGGGTACAATATCAGTTATATGATATTCTTGCCAAGAACACTTCATTTGACTCTAATCAGGAGGGGGAAAATTGGGCAATTACAGATGTAGGACCTCAAGATTAACCCAAATGTAAATTGAAGCATCACAGGGACAATCGTGATTCAATTTGTGATCCTCAATTAAGAATTCTAAAAATAGAAGAGCTTTAAAAGACATTATTTCGACAGTTAAAACTGCATATGGGTTGTATATTGAGTAATTTTATATCAATATTAAATACCTTGCATATAAAGTGTTCCTGTAGGAAAGAGTCTTCTTAGGATGTTTATGTTGAAGAATTTGGGGATAAATTCAGCATGGTGACAACTTCAAGTGATTCAGGGAAAAGTATGTGTACAAATACATATACAGACATAATGAAAGGGGAATGAAGGCAGCAAAATGTAAATAACTAAGTTTTGGTGACTAGAACTGGTTTTTACATAAAAATTTCTAATTTTTTGTAGGTTTGATTTTTTAAAGTAGCAGCTTGAAGAAAAATTCCTTTATTGGGCCCATGGGCTTCTTATTTCCCTTTGGGCTGATTTTGTTTATATTTCAAGTTGTTATGAATGTTTTCTTTTTTCTTAATGTTTGTGGTTATCTCTTTGGAAGTGTCTACCTTGACTTTCACATCTAAATTTCTGGGCAATATGATTCTTCAAATGCATATAAGCAGAACTTTAATGAAAGCAATGTTGTATGTCCATCTCTATGGAGCTCCAATTGATAGGAAAAACATTTGAAAATAAAATGGACACATAGTTACCTGGTTTAGTGATTATACTCAATATGAGTGTGTTTTGTAATTTTCTACATCCCTTAAAATATTACTTGATAGCTGATTCCCACTAGCTGTTTTACACATGGTAGTGTATATATGTCAACCCTAATCTCCTAATTCCATCTACCCTCACTTTCCCTGTATCCAAATGTCCCTTCTCTACATTTGCATCTCATCCCTGCCCTGAAAATAGATTCATCTGTACCATTTTTCTAGATTCCACATACATGCATTAATATATGATAATTGTTTTTCTCTTTCTGACTTTGTATGACAGACTTTAGGTTCATCCATATCTCTTCAACAAATGACCCAGTTTTGTTCCTTTCTATGGCTGAGTAATATTCCATTGTAGATGGGGAATGTGGGAGGGGGGCCAAGAGGAGGAGATATAAATATACATATAGCTGATTCACTTCCTTGCATAGCAGAAACTCACACAAAATTGTAAAGCAATTATCCTCCAATACTTGGCGGCTTCCCTGGTGGCTCAGGTGGTAAAGAATCTGCCTGCAATGCAGGAGACCTGGCTTTGATCCCTGGGTCAGGAAAATTCCATGGAGAAGGGCATGGCAACCCACTCCAGGATTCTTGCCTAGGAAATCCCATGGACAGAGTGGCCTGCTAGGCTATAGTCCATGGGATTGCAAAGAGTTGGATGTGACTGAGCAACTAACACTTTGGCTTTGATTTTTGATAGCACCAACAACGGATACAGATTTCCACGCCCTCCCTCAGACCTGTGAAGGGTAATCTCTGAGCATAGGGCCTAGATCTGCATTTTCATCAGATTTCCCACAGTCTTTTGAGCACTGAAATTCATGTCCCTGACACATCTTTAAGGGCCTCCTCCTTCTCAAGACTCAGTCTTACAACCTCTAGGGAAAGCTCCCTTTCCTTATCTCCTCTTCCACCCTGGTACATCCTTTTACCATCTGCAGTGATCTTCATAGATTTTCCTCCACTAATGATGGGGTTATGCCCTGAGAAGTCATTGAAGGTTAAAAACATTTTAGGTAAAAAGACTGCACTTAATTCGTCTAACCTATCTTAAACGTGCTCAGAACATTAAACATTAGTCTACAGTGGGAAAAGTTACCTAACAAAAAGCCTATGTTGTAATAAAGTACTGAATATCTTTTGCAAGGTATTGAATACTGTACTGAAAGTGAAAAACAGAATGTTTGTTAAGTGTATCGGTTGTTTACCCTTGTGATTGTTTGGCCCAAAGCCACTGCCCAGCATTACAAGAGAGTATCAGTATCATATTGTATATTGCTAGCCTGGGAAAAAAATCAAAATTGGAAATATTGTTTCTACTGAACACATCTCACTTTCACACATCATAAAGTCAAAAAATCCTGAGTCGAACCATCATCAGTTGAGGACCACATACTGGATTGTCCCCCTTGTTTCCCACCTTCTCCGTGAGCACTGAATTCACATTGTTCCATGTACTCTGTAGAAGCACCTTACCCAGTCTCACACTAACTCCTGCTACTCATCCAGTAGGTGGGACAGTATTTCTTTTTTAAACAAAATATGGATTTTTTTTAAAGGTATCTCTGCTTCCCCCCTGCCCCCTGCCGCCCCCTGCCCCCTCAAATGCCTTTCTGAGATACTGGGAGCTCTGGCAGAAACTCTGAGAATATAAACCAGATTCATACTCACTGGGGTTTGCAGCCTCTAAAGCAGGACTATTAAGCCCTAAAGCCAGCCTCCATGGCTTGGTAGCTATGTGACTTAAGGAAATGGCAGCCTACTCCAGTATTCGCTTATGCAAAAAAGGGGATAATATCAGTACCTACCTCAAAAGGTTGTATTGAAGGTATTTACATATATAAAGAACCTAGAAAAATCACAGTAAGTGTTTATTCTCTTAATCATCATCTTTCCATGGACTATCAGACCTGGATCAAATTCTGCTTTCAAAATGTTAATGATGAGCCTATATAAAAGAATATCTTTCTTGCTTTCTTTGTGTCTCTCGTGAGTTCAGGTTTCCCTAGGACTCCTGCATGCCCATGCTACACATATCCTGTGGCCTCCAGAGCGCTGGCAGAAATTAGAGTCTGTTCTTCCTCCAGAGCGCTCGCCGGTTCAGAGTGAAGAGGACTGCTTTCAAGGATCCCCCTAAGCTACTGCCACGGGGAGGCACCACGGCCGCCAGTCCCCGAAGTGGGGTGAAGAACAGTACTGAAAAGGGCAAAGCTTCTTGCAAGAAATATTTCTATCTCATTAAGATGATCTGTATTATTGGAGTTTTAAAATATTAAACAGTGTTAAATGACACCTGATTTTATGTTAAATTGTATACCGTGTTTAATGTCCCCCAAATGCAGACTTTTGGAAATATGGCAATTTTATTCCCAAATGTCTCAAGGAGGAAAGAGTTTGGATTTTTATGCATACATGTTCTATTCATTGTTAGATTTTGATTTGGGAGCTTTCTGCTGGAAGAATATGAAAACTAATATTTGATGAAAGTAGATAACTATTCGTTTACTCTTAAGACGGAGCATGAAGAAACATTATACACATAGTGATAGGAAAAACATTATAATTGACAGTATCTACAATGCAGTGACTGCCAGTTAGGAAGAACAGCAAACTATGATGCAAAAATAAAACATTGATTTGTTCAGGTACTGTTTTGGGTGTTTATCATTAAACCGGTAATAGTCCATTAATAAGGAATATATTCTTTCTTTTTGGAAATAAAGAATTAAAATGTTGGGGAACCAGGTCTCTCAGTATTTTTACACAACCAAATCTTTCTTCCTGGCCCTCTTTTAATCCAAAATCTCTTAGTAATTTCATGCCTATTCACACTGATGAGTAAACCTATCTTTCAGTATTTGGCCACTATTTGGTAAAATGTTCTGAGTGAAATGGAAAAATCACTTCAACCAAGTCTGATTGATTTTTTTTTTTCCCTTCTAGTGATTTTTCAGTGCTCCTGTCTATAGTTCTGAAATCACCTACTAAATGGGGAGGGGGGCGCAATACTGACAGATTTTATCATTGTATAGCTAAGAAGGTGGATTCTCTGTATGCACGTCTGCATTTATGAAGGCTTTCTTTTTTTTTTTCCTCCCATTGGTTGGAGGTTTGTGCTTGTGGAAATTGCATCTCTAGATCAATCTCCGCTGCATGCCTGGTCTCGTTTCCTTTTGTTTCATCAGCAGATAAGATGCCAAACAAGAATTGACCATCTTGCAAATGTGGACGCAAACTCATTATTAGCTAGCAGACACAGAAAGAGCAACCACAAAAAACATATGCATATTGAGAGCATATGTTACTAATAATGATTCATTAGCATCATAATAGCTAGTTCAACGCACATCAGTGAATACTTATATACTAAGATTGGTCACCATTATCATTTAAAAAAAAAGATGTGCTTAATATCTCTTGATGAATCTATATTATCCTTATGAGTTCTTCTTTTCTACTTCCCTCTCTTCCCCAACATAAGCTTCACACTCTGGCCTTTAACTGCAAATTACCAAATTCTCATTGCTATTTCAAGGCTTGTAACTTTTTTCCCTTGGTAAAGTGCATCCCCTAGGATTATTTGTAAAATATTGAGTGGATAAAAGTATTAACCCTTTAGTTGCTAGAACATAGGAAAGTTCAGGGACTATGGAAGGTAGGATTGGGGGAGATAATGAAGCGAGACAGAGAACAAACAAAGGGGTACCTGGATTAGCTGCTACTTATCCTGCTATGGCTTCCCTGGTGGCTCAGATGGTAAAGTGTCTGCCTGCAGTGCGGGAGACCTGGGTTCAGTTCCTGGGTTGGGAAGATCCCCTGGAGAAGGAAATGGCAAACCACTCCAGTACTCTTGCTGGAAGATTCCATGGAAAGAGGAGCCTGGTAGGCCATAGTCCATGGGGTTGCAGAGAGTCATACACAACGGAGCAACTTCACTTTCACTTTTCACTTTATCCTGCTATGGAAGAATTTGGTATTTTAACAGTTCAGCAAACGGTCTGTCAGCCTTATTACCTTCTTGATTGACTGTGTCTTCCTATTCCAACTATTAATTCAAGATTGTAAATCTTAAGACAGGAGACAAATGCTCTTTCTATTTACTTTTGTACTCTCAAACCATCTAGCACATAACCAACAGAGTTAATACGTAATGCTTGTTGAACAACTCAGCTCATAAGCTACCTCCTCAAAGATGCAACTCTTGGCAGAGATTATAACTGTGTTACCTAGTATGTACTTTCATGAGTCCACCAATCACTCTAAATATTAAGAAGAAAGAGTTATTAACTGTCCACACTCCCAGGGCACAGCAAGAAGTCATAGACCCAGGAGCCCAGTCTTTCTGTGAAAGAGGCCTATTAGCTTATATTCATAGCTATGATCCAAGGGGCAGGCTTCTAAATAAACACATCTAAGAGGTAATCCTTTCCAGAGACCTCAGCGGGCAGGCACTATCATGGCACTCTCCATCTGTTACATTCCAGAGCATCAGTATCTCCCAGAGAAGAACCTTACACATGTCTGGTGCCTTTGTTTTTTGTGACTGCCACTCTTGGGATACTCTGATCACCTGACTCTGATGGCCAGCAGTGCTAGCATTCATGTGTCCCACAGAACTAACATTTGGAGAGTCACTTCTTGGCTGAATGTCACCCCCGGGCAAGGCACAGATAGGTGCCTAAAATAGATGACCACTGTTTCTGGGAAAGTGGCCTGTTTGCTTAACCCGGAACTTTGGTCTGAGGGCAGGGGTCTGGTTTGGCACACATCTAGGGGCCTTCTGAGATAAGGACACCAGGATAGAGGTGGGTGGGTGCCTTAATTGTGCTCTCCCTCTGCCTCATTCCAGGTTGCCAACATCTTCCAGAAGAAAGCTTGTATGACACTCTGATTTTTGTGACTGCCACACAAGAGACCCCTCTAGATTGCATGACTCTGGAGGACAGTAAGATTTACACTTGTGATCCCACAGGACTATATGCATTTACATACTTTAAAAGCTGCTGCATGAAGGCCTAGCTTCCAAACCACTTAAATCTAGGTGCTGACTGAAATCCTCCCCTCCACTGACAGGTCTTGGCACATCCTCAGCTAGCAAGAGCCACTAAATATAAGAAAGACTGCAGGGACAATCACAAAGGATTGAGAAATAACCAGCACTAAGGCAGAGCAGAACAATAAGGGTTATCTCCTTCACATGGCTACTCCTTTAAGACTGGTAGACATGGTTATTTTATTGAGTGCATAGAAACCAACATGGAGAGTCAGGGAAAATGAAGAAATAGGAATATATTCCAAATGAAAGAACAAAATAAAACCTGATAAAAAGTTGATAATGAAACAGATAAATAATTTACCTAAAAAAGTTTTCAAAATAGTGGTAGTAAAGATGGTCCCCAAACATGGGAGAAGGATAAATGACCACAGAACTTCAACAAAGAGACAGAAAATATAAGAAAGTAAAGCAAAGAGAAGTCACAGAGCTAAGTACAATAACTGAACTGAAAACTACACTAGAGGGATTCAGTAGCAGACTAGATAGATGAAACAGATGAAAGGGTCAATGGAATTGAAAGCAGCGCAGTGGAACTCACACAATCAGAGCAGCAAAAAAAATAAAGATGAAAAAGTGTGAAGATAGTTGAAAGGGATTATGGGACAACATCAAGCAGACCAATGTTTACATTATAGGGGTCCTATAGATGACTTATTTGAACAATGGCTGAAAAATTTCCAAACCTGAGGAAAGAAACAGACATCCAGATGCAGGAAACCTAGAAGTTCCAAAAAAGATGAACCTAAAGAGACCAAAACATGTTATAATTAAACTGTCAAAAGTAAAGACAAGGAGAAAATCAAAGCAGCAAGAGATAAACAACATGTTATACAAGGGAAGATTGTTAGCAGGTTTTTCAACAGAAACTTTGTAGGCTAGAAGGATGTGACACAGTATACTTGAAATCCTGAAAGAAAACAAACAAAAACTTCCAACCAATAATATTCTACCTGGCAAAGTTATTGAAGGAGAGGGAAAGAGTTTTCCAGACAAGCAAAAAGTAAAGGAGTTCATCAGCACTAAACCAACTTTACAAAAAAAGTTGAGACTTCTTTAATCTAAAATGAAATGGTACTAATTAGTAACAGGAAAACATGAAAGTATAAATCTCATGAGTGAAGTTAAATAAATAGTAAAATTCAGAATAATCTAATGTAAAGGTGGTAGATGAATCATTTATAAAGCTAGTGTGAAGGTTAAAAGACAATGCTAATAAAAATAACTATTAGTCACAATAATTAAAGGATACCCAAGATTAAAAAAGAATTGATACTTTTGAATTGTGGTGCTAGAGAAGACTCGTGAGAGTCCCATGGATTACAAGGAGATCAAACCAGGCAATCCTAAAGGAAATCAACCCTGAATGTCCATTGGAAGGACTGATGCTGAAGATGAAGCTCCAATACTTTGACCACCTGATGCAAAGAGCCAACTCATTGGAAAAGACCCTGATGCTGGGAAAGATTGAAGGCAAAAGGAGAAGAGGGCAGCAGAGGATGAGATGGTTAGATAGCATCACTGACTCAGTGGACGTGAATCTGAGCAAACTCCAGAAGATAATGAAGGACAAGGAATCCTGGCAGGCTGCAGTCCATGGGGTCACAAAGAGTCAGACATGATTTAGCAACTGAACAACAACACTGAGATTGTCTATATTATCTAAATAAAATGTCTATACATCCAAAGCAATCTATAGATTTACTGCAATCCCTATGAAAGATGCATGAACAACATTTTTCACAGAACTAGAACAAATACTGCCAAAATGTTAAAGCACAAAAGATCCTGAATTGCCAAAGCAATCTTGAGAATAAAGAACAAAGCTGGAGGTTTCACACTTCCTGACTTCACATTATACTCAAAGCTACAGTCATGAAAACAGTATGGTACTGGCACAAGAAGAGACACAGAATAGAAATCCCAGAAATAAATCTATGCCCTTTTGGTCAATTGATCTATGACAAAGGAGGCAAGAATATGCAATAGAGAAAAGACAATCTCTTCAATAAGCAGTACTGGGAAAACTGGACACTTATATGTAGATTGAAATTAGAACATTTCTCCTACCAAATTTCAATGGC